AAAGGGCTCCTAACATTTGAAATCAATCAAGCGGTCCGTTGTTGGAATCACTAAAAAAGAAATGGCCGTGATGTAAATACGCTTTTCAATGTTCCATAACTCATGTATAGCCATCAAATAACTCACTTTCGACACACTCCGCCCCCTTTTCGTTGCATCAGAACGGACGGTATGATGATTGCATTTACAACCGCAACAATTCTCCTGCCTGCAATGCTCCACCTTCATGCCCTCCGATACTGGAGGCTGACCATCTCACATTTGGCAACCAATGAAAAGCCTGATAGGGCTGAATCGCTTTTGCGTCCGATTATGTAAACCTTTAATTGACAACAGGCGTCTTTTTTAAGGTAATTTCCCCCTCAGGCAGTGTCAGGGATAACCCCAAACAGGTGGGGGAATAATATACATCGTTGCTGTTTGCCACATTTTATATCCACACAGGTGCAAAAACACACACACACACTGACACATCAGGGTGGTCACTAATTAAAGCAGGTCTGAACCCCAAGGTGGTTCCAGGTCAGCAAGTGATCTAGTATGTGCATGCATGAAGACGACTTGTAAAAGAGAAAAGGAAAAAGGACAAATGATTGTGCATTCCTCTGGATCAGCGTCGTAGCACAGAAACTCTGCTCAGGGGTCATTCGGAGCGAGCTGCAGCGCTAAAGGGAAAGAAAACAAGCCCAAAAGTAGGATGTTACACGTTTTGGAGAGTTCCTTTAGGCAGTACGCTCACCACCTCTTCCTGGGCCTCTGGTGGCGTTCCTCGAGTATCACTACACACGTCACGCAGTCCACGGGAAGCCAGCCAGCGGGACTTAACCATTACAGATGTGTGGGTATGTGTTTCGCTTATGGAGCACATCTGTGAATCAGAGGCACTTGTTGCATCTGTTGCCTTTTTCTGACATTTTTACCTGCGGCCCATAGTTGTTGAGACATAAATGTGTACTTCATGGTACCAGTAGAGGACGAGTCAGAAGAACATATATTTCTATTTGTGCTGTGGTGAGCAGATACCTTCAGTTTAAGTACTGGAAGACAGATTGATGAATGTCTCACTTTAACCGTCCTGTCCTACAACAATGGACTGCTGGATGTAATACGCTGGTACGGTATAACAGAGGATAAAATACAAACGCGGCTCACCGTGAAGCTTTAATTCCGCCTCGGCATTTCTCATACGTGCTTCCTTGAGGGTCACAACTCATCTGAGCTTGGCGGAATTTCCCCCTGCACTGCTAAGGCCGGTGGATTAAAGGCTTTATGGCCAATTATTCTTTCTTAAAAGAGGATTTGCATCAATGTTTCAATTTATTGCTGCACGTGGTTTGTAGTCGGGACATTACAGCGCTTGAAGCCAGCATGTATTTTGCATATATTTATTTCAGGCTGTTTTCTTTCTTGCCTTCTCTCCCATTACACACACACACACAGTTGTAAAGTCCAGAATCAACAGACGGGGACTAATGAAAACAGTTTTGTTGATGCGTTGCCACGGTGCTCGCGGCCAATAACGGTCACACTGATGTCAATGTGGAATCTTGATCACAAGGCGCCGTCAACGAGTCACGAAGGACGCGGATGATCCGGAGAGGACAATCATGTGAAGACATATATAGTGGTCATTACTGTCTCCAAATTAGTGTGGCGTGGAACCTAGAAAAATCTTTTCTCCGTCTCAGTGACGCTATTCACCTTCAACCGTGATCGATTTACGTGGCGCAGCAACAAAGTGCCCCACTGCTTGTGTGCGTTCCCAGGTGCGTTGCCATGGCAATATTTCCTCTCACTTCCTGGCCCCCTTCTGATTTGCCGCGTATGCGTTGCCGGGGAAACTGACATATTCCTTTGCCCGCAGCGTTCCGGCGACCATTGTCCCGTTGTCTGAAATAGAACGGAAACCTGCAGCGTCGGTGCACCGCGTGTCCGAGGGGCATTAGTCATCCCAGCAGCTCGGTCCCGCTACAGTCAGGGGAGACGATCATCTTTCCAGCACAAGGGATGAATGCCGTAGTAGAAGCCTCACGTTTACGTTAAAATACACCACATTCACTGGTGACACTGAAGGCAAGTTCGCCTGCTTTCTTTCAAAGGGCGTTCAGGATTGATTGCAGAATTTATTTCCGCTAATGCAGAAATTGCATTAAGCGTGGCAAACTAGCACAAAGTACCATTTGTTGAAGCTGGGATTACCCGATTAGTTCCGCGCAGCCAGTCCAGCAAAAAGAACATCCACGGAGGGGTCCGACAGTTCTAATAAATACAGAGGCAGAAATGATTGCAGTTATGTGTAGGCATAGCAACGGGCTGTATTTTGGACACAAACAGGAGTCCAGGGATGGCGACGGTAGCCGCGTGGCAGATTTGTCTCTATAGAGGCTGTTCAAACAGAGTTACGTCTCGCTAAACGTCCACGTCACGCCGAGGTGCCGGATGATGAATGCCTCGGCGGTGCGACCCGCAGGCATCCAGCGGTCCGCTAACGCGGGAGCCCGTTAACCTCTGAGGGGTGAGAATAATATTAGGAGATGTCAACAATGTCGCCCATGTACGCTATAGCTCATTAACTCCGCGGAGCCAACCAAATGAACGTAATCACAGCAGACCGTCATTATCTCAAGAGTGAGAAAATGACCCCCCCCCCACTTACGTGACTGTTATTGGATGCAGATTGCTGGGAGGATGAGAAAAAAAGTAATCTCTACGGTTTTAAATTGAATCATGAACTCAAAATGACTTTTCACCACGGCGATCAGCTGCTGCATATTTTTCAGCCTCGAAGAACTTGGCAGTCGGCTCGAAAAGCTCAAAGGCCAAAATAAATCCCAAATCTCTGATTTTTGCTCCGTTAAATGGAGTGATAATATGCAAAAGGGGTTTATATAAAGCCCAAATCGAGTTTCCAAGCACTTGCAGGAGTGGAGAAGGTTGTAAATAAAACTGAAATATCTATTTTGTGTAGTATATTATGAAAATGGTCATCTTGACAAAAAAAATACAAATTTAAAAATTTAAATGGTTAAAGAAATATATTTCTGGGTCCATTGATTAATGAACCTATATTTGTATATTTGAAATATGTGGCAGCTAACAATAACCTTTCACATTATAGTATGTGGCTGACAGTGGATCGGCTCTTTACCTTTGAAGGGCTTCAAGATGTTTTTTAATCAAAGCCACGTGCATAATCAGTTGGGTTTTTTTAAACGTCCAAAGTGAGAGCTGTTTTCCGTACGGGTGTAGTTTATCACGTCTCATTGATTAGGTTTTGTACGTGTTGTGGACGTGGCCTCGAGGCGCAGCGGGGCGAGTGGGCAATATGGGCGCCCTTTTGAGGGTAAACCAGGGCAGGAGATGGACGGATGGTTCGACGCGGCGTTCTTGCTCCTTTGCATCGAAAGGGTCCACCTGAGGCGGTTCAACATACTTTGCACCTGATAAGAGACCCAGGTGCAGAGCCGAACACGCTGGGGGTGGGGGGGGGATTTTATCTCCCAGGCCGGAAAGACTTGCGGGTCTGGAAAACCCTGCCTAAGAATGCTGACCCTGTAACCCTGCTGTAGATAAGCTGAAAAACATCATATGTGCTGACAGCTTTGCTTTGAACACAACTGGTCTGCATTGATAATGATGAGATAGCAAGCCACTAACCAGAGTAATGAGACAGAACTATGGCGTGTAAAGACGACCAGTCAGGCCGCAATAAACAGTAACCCATCATCGAACCTTTGAAAGTGCATCCAAACTACACAGAGGTCACAGGCCGGTTTTGGATCGCCTCGGTTTACACAATTCAACGTACTCGTTGTTGCCAGAATCCAGCAGCGAAACCGGGATTCAGTCCGGCCCCTGCGCTCCGCTGTCGGCATCGCACGGGTCCCAACTGAAGCTCATCGGTCTCCTGCAGAAAGCCTGCTGGGCAGAACCGGCTCGACCGTGGGGGAGGCCCTCTTGTTTCACTTTCCCAAACTGTTTGCTTTTGCTTCTGCAGCGCGTGCGAGGTCAAGCGGCAGGGAAAAGGGTTTCCTCGGCCGGCGCCGACGAATTGCATGAGCACTAACAGCAGGGCTGTATTGAAAAAGAAAAGGCGACACAAACCTGTGAAACATTTTGGATTTTTACTCCCACGGCAAACATGAAAATCCTAAAAGGCATAAACTAATAAAATATGGTTTGTCTCAAACAAAAAGAGGATCACAAAGAGACAGACGCATTAGAGTGCTGTTGTAAGCCCTCTGTCTAGATAAGACATGAAATGAATTGCAGCAGTCTGTCCTTTCCTTCTCTTTGCCTTCCTTCTTAACCTCTTCGTCTCCCTGAGCGCTCTTCTCTGTAGACCACAGAATTCAGATGACAAATGTTCATCCAGGTTCCCCGGGTCTGCGGCGATTTCCTACAATTCACTTTGACTCAAGTCCACCTTCAGCCCAAAGCTGCAGCATAGACCTCTCTGTGGGGGGGGGGGGGGTGAAAAATGAGCAGCTGCTTTCTATACGCTGTGGCCTCATATCGGCCTCCCCCCCTCCTCCTCCTCCTCATATTCAACCACGGTTTATCGTGAGTGGAAAGCGCATTGCAAATCCATCAGCGCGAGGCCATTTCTTGTCCTCACTTGCATCTACGTCTGCGTACTTTGACTTTATACGTTTGAGTCGACTGGCGCTCCGACGTCGTAAAAAAAAGGCCGCCCCGCGCGTGTGATCTGTGTATTTTTGGACCGCTTCGTTGGCACTGCATGTCATCTAATATGATCCTCTCTCAAACTCCTAATCTGTGAGAATCACATGAAAAAAGAATCAAAGAATGTGGAGGCCAAGGGTTTACTCAGTTTCACATGCAACTGAGTCCAGGGAGCCTTAAAGTGCGACTTAATATGAAAAAGAAAAAAAAACTTTTTTCCAACACAGCTGGGAGGGGTCCATCAAGTGATATTCTACTCATGGACTTTATATCCGCACAGGCTAATGTTTGTGTTCACCTTTCCCCCACCCCAGGGTGACCTCACCTGGAGCAGCCAGTCGGGGCGGAGCGTGCGCCTGGCGCCGGTCGCCATCCAGAGCCTGTCGGAGCTGGAGAGGGCCAGGCTGCAGGAAGTAGCCTACACCCGGCTGCACCAGGACTACGACCTGGGATGTCAGATCACCATGCCGAAAGGTGGGAGGATGGGCTTGCGTCGGTGGGGTCGAGTGCAGAGATTTTTTTGCAACTGGTAACTGAAACAAAAGCTCGGGTCTCTCTGGCCCCAAGTCCTCCCGTCGAACCCCGTTAAAGGGGAAGTCAGGGGCGGTGGATGTTTGGGGACAATTGCGACAACACGTGGATTACGACGTGAACGCGCACTTTGCGGTGAGGCCGCGTGCTTCCTGTTAGAACCCCTCGTGCCCCCTTTGCTCTTAACGACAAGCGACTCCCTTTCCGAGTGCTGTCACCACGCTCGTGGCCTCTATTTTTAAGTGGGTGGGTTCTATGGGTGTGAGTAAGTGAGTAAGGGGAAGGAAAATGACAAAATTAGACAAATTAGTGCAGATATTGCAGGCATGGGTAGACACGGGTTGAGTCTGTGGTTTGTTTCCCACTGGACCCGCCCATGCTAAAAATATCTAAATGAATCACAGTTTAAGGAAAAGAAAACAAATATATATATTTTTATATTCTGGTTCTGTACACGAGCAGCCTCTGAGTTTGCTCATTCCAATACCAACTAGTCCAACTCCATATAAATTATAAATAACCCAGAAATTCCATCTTGTACTCACTATTACGCCACAGATGCTATGGATTCCCCAAAGTGCAACTAAATATCATCTGCGTTAGGATTATCTTCTCGGGTAAACTCCCATATCTTCACTCCCACTTTGGAACAGGCTTCCTGTTCAAAAAACGAGGTCCAAAACTGAGATGACCTCATCCACCTTATTGTCTCAGACTTTAGAGAGCTCCCTCCAGAGACGCAGCACACACTATTCAACTGTTTTCACAGGTTGAGCGGTTTAGTAAATTGAACTTCATGATCAAATGATCAAACCCTCAGGTTAGCCAGACTCATTTGGAAGAGAAAACCTGCTGTACATGTGGGACTAAAAGGAGTCGCCGCCCAAATTTGTTCCGTGCAAACATGTCTTTGTGTGCTCACGCGTGGTTGTAGCGCACAGGGATTCGGTTTCAGGGGCTCCCACAACCCGTCTGCCTTTTGGCACTCCGATTCATTTATTTGATTTCCAGAGGCCCGAGAAGGTAAAATCGCCCAATTAGTCAGAGTAGTTGATGAAAGTCGAGAAGAAAAAAAAACATGCTGTACATTCCTGTCCAACTCAAGGGGGTCCTGACCCTGAGGTTTGGATGCAGCGTTTACAACACTTGTTTCTTTCGTTCTTGTATCAAGACCTCAGCGATTATTTCGGTTCAGGTTTGGTTGGTTTGGTGCAAGTGTGCAGCGCCCCCCCCCCACCCCCCCCCGTACTGTACATGAGCCGTAGCAGCAGTATAGTGCAGCCGGTGGATTAACCAGAGCCTCACATTCCAGCTGAAGGTTAAACACTCTCCCCACCATGATTTAATGCGTACTTGTCTGTGTTGCTTATGAATTCCAGAGAGCCCAACAGCCCCCATGTGCTAGCGCGGGAAATATTTCAGCCCGGGTGTAAGAGTTCCCTCCTGCGCGTGCTACTTTCGGCGCCGCTCGAGCGTTGCCTTTCGGCCCTGCTGTTTCCCATCTTGTTCCTTAAAGAACAAAGACAAAGAGAGACGGGCAGGCCGACATCGCAAAGAAGCGAAGGTCCAGGGGTTTGCACGTTCGGGTTCCGTAAAAAATCCAAACCATTTCCATCTTCCCTTGTCTAGTCTCTCATCCTTTCTCTTTCCTGCCGCCTTCACTCTCCATCACCAACATCTGCTTCCCTCTCATTAAACACGACCCTTCCGTTTCCCACCTTTTTCCCCCCCTCACGCAACCCTAATCATTTCTCCTCATGTCCTTCTGACTCAAAGCTAGCAGTCTTAAAAGAACTCATATGTATAAAGAAACGGCGGCCTCGCTGAGTTTGTTCCGATTCATCGGAGACGGTTGGACACGTGGGGAAACCGTAACACGCTAATGCGGCGCGTGTTCCCCGGGGCCGGGTGAACTTTCCGGAGTGACTCATTCAATACAGCTGAAAGGAACATCTGGGAGGGTTCAAACCGAGGTTGCTAAATTAGCAGACCACAGCGAAGGGTCTCTCAACGGGTGTGCGATGGTCCATAGTGTCAAAGAGTTGGTTTTTAGATGGCAAGAAACAACGACAACAACCAAACCGCAGTGACTTCCAGCATTAAGCCGAGCGCTCTTAAAGGAGACTGTGAGGCCGCGTAATGCCACTAGTTCCACATTCCCCTGGACATTAATCAGCCAGTGGAGGAGTCGTTCATCATGTTGACAGCTGACTAGTAGCTTCCCTCCTTTGTAAAGCACTGACGTACACTAATAGAAACGTGCGAGACGTTGTTATTTCCAAAAGCAAGAAAAGTCCTCACGCGTACGAGCCAGCGCACTTAACCAATATAAGTGATTTAATATGTTTTTTCCTGCTCGCTAAGACCATAGCTGAACCTGTCTGACATTTCAATTAAATGGATTTGAGTTCACAGACAGCTTTTTTCCCCCCGTGGCTAATTTATGTCTGCATTCCCGACAAAAGCTTGTTAGATATAATAAGCGATAGAAGATACAGCCGATATGAAAACCATTTGTTTCGGAATGATTTATTTTCTTGTTTTTTTCCCCCTGCCGCAGATGGACAGAAGAGGAAAAAGTCGCTGAGGAGGAAGTTGGACTCGCTCTCAAAAGAGAAGAGCAAAGACAAAGGTATGCCAGGTTCTCTTCACCCTTCGCCGGGTTTGCAGCTTTCTCTCTCTCTCTCTCTCTCCCTCTCTCTCGGCCCGAGGCTGCCAGCGGGACAGCAGTGGTCTCCGCGCCCTCAGGCAGGTGAACAGTGGGGTTATAAAAACAGGCGTTCTGTTTACTGGGCTTTGACAGTTTATTTTTAGCTTAAGTGGAGGGACTCCTTGTAAGGGGACCGGCTCTGAGAAGCAGCCACTCTGCGGCACTAAGCGAAGCATATTTGGCAGGAGAGGGAATCTCAGACAAAAAGGAGCCCAGCTGGAAAGAGCAGCAGGAGGCCGAAGGAATCGGACGTTTCTTGGGCCGATCCCACCTCTAGTTTATCACAGTTAGTTATGCAAAAACTGAAAAAGAATTGCACACGCATTGGCCAATCAGAACCCGCTATTCTATGAGGCAACTTTGATTTAATAACGACGGGGCAAACTTGCTCCTGGAACCCACGTTGGTTGTTGTTACGTTTCCGGTGGGGAGTCTGAGTGTAGGTGGGTCACATGGCTCTGCCCCCTCCACCCCCTCGGAGCAGGTGGCTCAGATGTACCTGTGGAGTCACCTGGCAAATTGATTCCAAGTTTAAAATGCCCCCATGTTCTCTGAATACAAAGCCCCGCATTGCTCTTTGAAGCAGGCTAACCCTTCTTCTCTGCGGCACCCAGACAGGAAGAAGCATTCGTGCTCCTTTGATGCCGCCGCAGTCCACAGAAAGGGTGCTTCTTTACTTCAGAGAGAAACTTATTTGTCAAAGTTAAGATTTACAGCTCTCTAAAAACACAAATGTATTGGTAAAGTACCATTTATAATAGTTTTAACTTTCCACACTTTCTGCATGGACAAATCCAAATGCACTGTGTGGACATGAATACGAGAATTATTGAAAAAAGAAAGAAAAAACAGGGTAATGAAAAACAGGATTGATGCTGTGGGCCTGGAAAATGTCAATTTATAAAAAATCGGACATGTGGTCTGGCTGTGGGTGCACCGTGAAGAGCTTTGCATTACGCAAGAAAAGCTCTGTACCTTATGCGATCCACATTGTGTGGTGTGTACGTGCACGCCTGTGTGTGTGTGTGTGTGTGTGTGTGTGTGTGCGTGCGTGTTAACCCCCGTTCACGCTTTGAGGCTGCACGGCAAATTCATTGTGTCACAGCGTTAGTGGTCATGTTGCTCATGAACACAGCGCTCCACTTGTGGTTGTGGAATTCATCTCGCATTCTCTCCCTCTGTTTCCCTCCGAACACACACACACACACACACACACACACACACACACACACACACACACACACACACTGAACAGCTGGACTGCTTTTTCTCAGCTGCTTGTATTCTGTATAATTCAATATATAGCCTGCGATTGGCCCGCCATGACATCATTACTCCGGAGCATATCTTCTAAGTGCTCGTGTCCCTCAGCAGTGCAACTCACATTTGCAGGAGTTAATTGCGGCGGTTTTGCTTCGCCAGACTTTTGTTTAAACTCTATTTAAGAATGCGTCCGGCGCGACTCCTCGCCAAAACAAACGGCGCTTGTGCCTCTCGTCATGCCCCAAAATGAGCGGTAATGCAACGAAAGGAGTAGAATTTGTGTGCACGTGTGTCAGCGCGAAGCAGCCTTTGGGGAGAGCAAAGTGGGTCGGTTGTGGGTGCGAGGGATCGCGGTTGTGTTATTTTGGTATTAGTGTTCTGTCATAGTGATGTTTTCCAACTTTCTTCTTTCCTTTCTTTATTTTGGATAGCAGATGCACTGTGGTGCTGCACAGTAATATGCAGAGGAGGTTAGATGTAAATGTTATTCCTTCCGACAGCTATTTCTGGACGTTTCTGACGTAGCTGCTTTTTTTTCGAGTCCTTCTTGCAGCAAACTAATACAGTTTTCTTTCTTTTCTTCTTGGCCTTGTCCCCTTTCTTTCCTTCCTTTACCCCCCCAGAATGCATACCCCAAGCCTTCAGCATAGTGCTACCCCAGGTCATCGCCAACGACAGAACACACAGGCAGCGTCAGGACAGCTACCGCCAAGACCCGCCGCAACGCGAGGACCACAAGGACTCGTCCGACCTCGTTTCGTCCATTTTACAGGTCTGTCAGTCCGTCCTCCTCTACCTGGGCTCCACGCGAAGGCCCTTTTGTACGGATCAACAACCATATGCCAGACGACACGTTGTACTGGGCAAAAGGAAAGCAAAACCTAACCCTTGGGATCGCCTGTCCCGCAGTTTGCCACCAAGCGGCCGTCCAACAAGGAGCTGTCCAGCAGTAACTCCTCTCTGAGTTCCACATCGGAGACCGCCAACGAGTCGACGTCGCCCAACACGCCAGAGGCCGCGCCCCGAGCACGCAGGAGGGTGAGACACAACTAACTCCGCCCGAGTGTGAGTTTGCACCCGGTTTTCGAACGGCCCCGCCTGAACGAAAAGTGCGTGATTAAATCTCCAGGGAGCCATGTCGGTGGACTCCATCACGGACCTGGACGACAACCAGTCGCGCCTGCTCGAGGCCCTGCAGCTCTCCCTGCCGGCCGAAACGCCCAACAAAAAGGAGAAGCACCGGGACAAGCGGCTGAGCCTCAACCCCATCTACCGCCAGGTGCCCCGAGTGGTCGACAGCTGCTGTCAGCATATCGAGAAATATGGTGAGGGGCCGCCAACGCCGCCATGGCGTAGGTCTTCTTCCTGTACGAACCGCAACGGGTGCTGGTGCTTTCCGCTTCAATTTCCTTTTTTCTCCCTTCAGGTTTGCAGACTGTGGGGATCTTTCGAGTGGGAAGCTCCAAGAAGAGAGTCCGACAGGTGAATTATTCTACTTGCTCCTGGACTTTTCTTTATTCATCAGCTTTGAGTAAATACACACCAAGTCTCTTGATTTGAATGAGTCAACAATTCTTTTAATTTAATCACCACGTCCAAAGAGGATGCAAATAGAATACGAGCCAAAGGCTGCTTACTTTTTTTGAGGAGACATTAGCAATAAACATGAGCCAACCGTAGTTAACGTGTTGCTATCACTCACTAGATGAAATGGTTTGTATTCACACATCAACACCATTTTGCGTTGATACAATCCGACGTCGACACCCATGCTATTGTGAAATTAAAAACGCGCTTGGCTTAATTTGCGGTGAGCGCGACAGCGGGTACATTAGTTTCGAGCGGATGACCCCGATCATCATGGCCAAGAACAGTTCCCCGGGAGTCGTCCAAAAGTCAGATCCGGGATTAGGGTGCTTACTCGCTTACTAGTTTTGGGTCTACCAGGTCACATGGAGGGCCGACAGGAAATGAATGCGTGCACTGCTGAGACTATAACAGGCATTGTTGTGTGCGGAGGATGTTTCTAAATCCCCCTCTTCCTCTCGTTCTCCCCGGCGTGTCTCGACCGCAGCTTCGTGAGGAGTTTGACCGCGGCATCGACGTCCAGCTGGACGAGGACTACAGCGTGCACGACGTGGCAGCTCTGCTGAAGGAGTTCCTCAGGGACATGCCTGACCCGCTGCTCACCAGGGAGCTCTACACAGCCTTCATCAACACCACATGTGAGCTTCACCCTCCCCCGCCACCCCCAAACACTCCCTTTTTCCACATGACCTCTGTTCTTCTCCTCCTTTTTTTTCTCTCTTTTTCAAACCATGAAATTCTAATTGTGTGTTTCAGTGTTCCGTGATCCGGACGAGCAGCAAGCTGTCACTCAGCTGCTGGTCTACCTGCTCCCAGCATGCAACAGCGACACACTCCACCGCCTCCTGGAGTTTCTGTCCACTGTTGCTGACCACGCCCACGACCAGCAGGACAAGGAGAGACAGGAGGTGAGCGCGGGTTTTTCTATCAAAAAAGGGGAATGTAGCTCAATAAGATCCTCCATTAAAGGATGCTTTTGCCCGTTTGCGGCTCCCGTCCCTCCTTCCTGAGGTCGGGAGTGGCGAGGGAGGAAACTGGGAGAGGTGCAGAATCATGAATTTACTCTCTCTAAAAGAAGAAAATGGTGTTCAAGCCTCGATGGGCTTGTAACTTTAGATGCCAATTGTGTCACAGGATGCGCGCATCACTCCACCCTGTTACGAATCAATTCAGCTTTCATACGCTCAATCACTTTTAGTGCCACTCTTCCTCCATCTGTAGCTCAAAGAGACAAGCCAGAGATGGAACAATAGAGGGAGAGGTGAGGAAATCAAAATTATAGGACGGATGGAGGCGCAAGTGATTCAAGTGGGAACATTTTAGCTTCTACAGCTTCAGAGTGTTTGGAGACCTGCAGTTTGGTTGCTTCAGGGACCTTATTTGACACAATTGCTGCTGTTGTACAACGGCTGTACGCCGACGGGCTCCCTGGGTATTTTTCATATGTGAACATGGCTAGGGAGTCGAGCATTTAAGGCCTCCTCCAGAACCTGACCCAGCATTCACGTGGCCTCACAAACCGCTTGTCTCTCCGACGGCAGGTCACGGGGAACAAGATGACGTCTCTGAACCTGGCCACCATCTTTGGCCCCAACCTGCTGCACAAGCAGAAGAGCTCGGACAAGGAGTTCAGCGTCCAGAGCTCGGCCAGGGCCGAGGAGAGCACGGCCGTCATCGCCGTGCTGCAGAGGATGATCGCCAGCTACCAAACACTCTTCGTGGTCAGTCATTCGAGCACTTCTCTGACACCCTGCCCCCACTTCCTGATTTCATTCAACACACACACACACGCACAAACACACACACTCACACACACACATACATACAACCCTTCTGGGCTTAGAAACGCTTGCGTCCGGGTTAATGAAAACCTCTTCAGGGAGAGAACAAAGACACAGAACCAACAAAGGAAGTAAGAAAAAATTCATAGCTGAGTAATTATAAAGAGAAATAAAGTCAACAATAAGTTCAAGCACTTTATACTGCGATGGTTGAACGTATTCTTTCTGAAAATGAAAGCAGAAAATTCAGGCTTCAAAAAGTGAGTTTTCTATGAAAAGATAGGTAGGTCGGTAGCTGTTAGGAACATAGCTGTGTTGTAAGAGTCAACATCTCTTTTTAGGTGCCTCCTGATCTCCAGAACGAGGTTTTGATGAACCTGTTGGAGACCGATCCAGACGTGGTCGACTACCTTCTGAGAAGAAAAGCCTCACAGTGAGTTCCACGTGCCCACACAAACACACACAGGTGTTCACGCGCATGCGCTCCGCCTCCCTTCAACTTTCTGCAATAAATCCCCAGGAGTCCCGACCTGTTGCCGCCAGAGGAGCCCTTCTCCCTCGGCGAGCGACGCTCCTCCAGCGACTCCAACAAGGTGTCCAGTGGCGAGGTGTCGCCCTACGACAACAACTCCCCGGTCCTGAGCGAGCGGAGGGGCGGGGAACCGGGGAGCCCTGGCGGCGAGCCGCTCTTCTGCGTCCCGGAGCAGTACGCCCTGGTGGGGCAGGTGGCCGGCTGGAGCAGGGAGTCCGGGGCCGACACATGGGGAAGCAAAGGTGAGTCCCAGTGGCGGAGGATTCACTTCTTCGTTATCTGGCCTCACTTTCTTCTTTTAGATGGGCCTGCATAAGGAATAACACGGGCCGAGTCTGAGGGTCCGGTGTGCAACAGGAGTTTGACCTCTCTTTTTCTTCTGCCCTTAGACGCTATATCAGAAGAGCACGCTAACATTTGGGGGACGTGGCACACAACACTTAAACCAACACACAAGGACCACGGATACACAGGTAGACTTTTTTCTTGCTGGTGAAGAGCCAGATCGGTGAGCGCTCGACACCTGGTGCTGGTTATTGGAGCTCCTTCACCGAGCCAGAACCAACTTCCAATATCCTCACGAACAAATATATGAATGCTTGACACCGTTCAAAACGGTCTTGGCTAAAATCTCCATTTATCCGTTTGAAAATGCTCCAAACACAACTCTGACAAGTTAGTAAATATGTGATGCACATGAGTCCAGAGAATTTGCACACAGCGGCGCTTATGTCCATTTTTCCATCAAAGCCAGAAGCTCCAGTGTGATTACACTTTTTAGCAAAGGCCAAAAAACACACAGAGGACCAAACAGAGCTGATGAGTTAACGGTGAAATGCAAGTCGGAGCTTCTCTGGCTTCGGTATTTTCAGGGGGGAACAGAAAGCTGCATATTATTAAAAAGTGCTGCTTTGTTTGTTGTTTTGTGTATTTTGGTGATCGTTTGCTTAGCAACTGGATCCCACGTGATACCGAGTGAATGTGCTCGCCAACACTGTCTGAATAAAGACCCACATTCCCATATTTTTAAATTCATTCTATTCAGTCCAAATTATTCCTAAGAGTTTGAAGGTGAGTTTACCTTAGCCTACCTCAACAATACAAGAACAACTAGGAATTGTCTCTTCTTTCCGCTGAAGGCTGTCGAGAGCTTTGCCGTTCGTCATCTAAAGCTTTACTTTTGACATTTCTTTTAGCACAAACTAGTGACGCATGCCTCCCTTGTTATTCACCAAACTATAATTAAATCTGCTGATGGCGTGGATGTTCTGCTTCCAGGTTCTCATGGCAACATGTCAGAGGGAAGCTCCCGCAGCTCGCAGGAAGGTCTTGACGGACTCCATGGCGACGGGCAGCAGCAGCAATGCTGCGACGAACAGAGACAGCGCCTGGCGTGGGCGAAGTGCCGGACCCCACCCCGCCGGTGGCCAGATCGTGCACCGCCCCTCACGTGGGAGCCGGGACCGCTGCACGCGGCCTCGAAGCTGACCTCCGTGCCATGCCGCACCTCCAAAAGCCGCAGAGGCTCCACCGAGGCGAGCGGACACGTGCCACTCAAGCCGCCCGCCAGGCTACAAAGTCGGGGGGAACGCCGGGGGGAACGCCGGGGCAACGACAGCCGCTCGCCGCCCCTTACGCGGCCCGCCGCCGCGTGGCCAGTTCGCACAGTTCACCTCAGCCGGCCCAGCGGCTCCCTCCGCAGCACGCCGGGCCTCGGGCCTCGGCAGCGGAGAGCCAAATGGCGTCCCAGGGCCCGGAGTGGCAGGACTGGCAGAGGGACCGGTGGCAGATCTGGCAGCTGCTGTCCTCGGAGAGTGCCGACGCGCTGCCAGAGACGCTGGTGTGACCTCAGACTGGCGGAGTTGATCGCAGCGGAGATTCTCACGGCGTGACCCCTCCCCGCCCCCCTCATTTCATCCTTTCCCCGTCAAGCCTCCGTGCTTCGCCCCGCACCCCCGGCGCCGTGCGGTTGTCGTTTACGTGTGCAGCTGCTGCCTTATACGGACTTTTACATCCAAGAGCCACTAGTATTTCTTGTTTTAAAATGGATGTTGCCTGTTTCCTCTTTTCCCGTTATGTTACGATTTGATGGCCGCCAGATATACCTCAAAAGAACTCTCTGTTCCCAACGCCTCAGAATGTCACCACGCCCTTATTTTCTATTCACAGTGACTTCAGTCTTCATATCTCCATGGAGAAGCATTTGTTTCTTTAGTTTGTTATATTTTCCATTTATAATCTTTTACTCTTTTTTTCATCGACACTAACACGTACCCATTAGTAAGCGCTGCTAAGTGTAGAATGTCTGTGTGTCTGGTGTCGCAGTTCAGCCGCTCACGTCCAAAAGATCAAACGTTGGATTACTGTCGCGCCAGATAGCGGTTGATATATGATATGATATATGTATACACAAACATACGGAACACGCATACACACATGTATGTAAATTGCCAATCTGCCAAAAGTAAATTAACTGACAATCAAAATGTTGGAGTTTTCCAGACGGCTGAATTGTATTTTGTAATATTGAATGTAGAATATTTCACTTTGGGCAGAAATATTTCAACGTAAATTATAAAGTACTTGCCTGTAAGTTTGTTTAAATGTGCTTTTGCCACGAGCTGCACTGCAGGTCCACTGTGCCAAAATTGTGCCAAAGTCTCTTATTTTCAGGATATTGATCATACAGTTGTCATTTCATCCAATTGTTCATTTTGTGGAAAAAAAAAAAAACCTTCAGTGGAAGAGCCACAAAGGCTCATTTACAACATTATTATACTATGAATTAAAAGCCCTACTGGTTATTGTTTACTACAATGTCATGTATACAGAGGAACCAATCTTAGGTAATATGCCAAATAGTCATTTTAAATAAATCCTTTCTGAAAGGCCAGAATTTAGAGAATCTGATAAACTGTCAGGTGTCTAAAAGCATCTTCTATCGAGTAATACAGTGTTTTATCGACAATTGTACAGAAAAACTCCATCCATTTGGTTTCCACAGATTCAGAATTATTTGAAGGTATTATTTGACATACATCTGGTCACAAACTACATTTACCAAAATCAGCATGAATAGTGCTGTGAATTTCCACAAAAAATATTTTTCAAAGATATAAAAAACAGCTTTACTATTACAGATTTGGGTTAAGAAGCAGTAGCTACGATGTCAACTGTCGACTGATCAGTCTGTGCTCTCGTGCTGGACTGAATGTCTTAGCCTCTCTCAAAAAAATTCCAAAAGATTTAATGACTCTGCAGAGGTCCAACTGGGTTGCCAATAAAAAAAAGACAAAGTTTGCTACATTTCTTTTCCCCACTTCAATTCCAGTATTGTTGCTAAATCAAAACACACACACACACCCACAACCGACCAGTCCAAATCCTCAAATGTCAGTCAAGTGGGTATTTGCTGGACAAATAGTTCACGTTTTCTCAAGCTATGGTGTAATATCTGCAGCCACGTCAGCATTGTGTGGAACCCGATGTCTTCTTTGTCTTCGTAATGCGGTAAAGCAGTGGAAGGACCCCGGCAAGGCTTTCGGCGCCACCTAGTGTCAGACCACCGTCCATCACCGTTTCCATGGGACCCCTCTGATTAAAAGCACCTTCTGTAAAGCTAGGCGGGGGGAAATAAACTTGCTGCAGGTCTCGCTCTTAAAAATGGTCTCTACGTGCATTGCTCAAGGTTCATATTTTTTGTGAATTTGTTTGTATTACTTACTGTTTTCGGTTGTGTGTTGTAATATATAACTTCAGTGTAACAATTTTTATTCAAGGAGTAAAAAAGAAATAATCCCAAATGTGCTAGCTTTGTCTTGACCTTGACCATGAAACTTAGAGAAATGTTGTTTTATTGTGGATATTTTCTGTGGTATTTACTGGGTCCAAGTTGTAATGGAATGTCTGGTAATTGCTTTTGTACCGCGTATCACCTTGCTACAATGAAATTAAATATGCTAAAGTTTACACGAGTTGTTGAAGTCAATACTTCAATCATACGATACATCATTTTATATTCTTATTGTACACTGTGTAATATGCAACGTTGCATTTTGCAATTTGAAACTCCAACTGGACGGCTCCTCAAAGCGTCGCCCTGATGGCTCTTTGAGAGAATGAGAGAAGGATGTAATTCTCAGCCCAAACCCCGACAGCAAGTCCTCTACCTTCAGCTGCAAAGACAAATGGAACAAAGACAACAAAAAAAAAGACACTCAGCCGGAAATGTCAAAGTGAAGCAGCTTCAGAACTTCACCTCCAAAGATCCGGCAGAGAGCACGAAGCCCTTTATAACGACTGAAAAACACAGAAAGCCACTGAACAGAACAGTGGGGAAAATGTCAAGATGGTCAGATGAGTCGTCTCCACAAATAGAAGCACATGTGGCGAAAGAAGGCCAACAAAAGGGGCGGCGCGTGCCGATTAACACGACGCTGTAGTATGTTGTACAAAGGTGGATCACTTGATGTGGGCGGCGCCCGAATGGACACGCCACTCTCCACATGACAGATTTCGAGCCAGCTCAGTATTCCTAAATTGTAGAGCCCCACGTGGAGAAATGATGTCACAGTCCTGCAGGGGAACTCCAGAGAACTACAAGCAGAGGCCTCCTGGAGATGTAGAGGTAGTCCTGTGGATTTATTGTCACCCAATGTGCATTGATCAGATGTGTGCAGGAATGTTTTTACAGCTCAGACCATGTGTGACGTGTTGGATGTGATCTCCTAGTTAAGCCACTAGAGGTCAGTAACGAGCCTCGGATGGCTTTCTGAAGCGGACACCGGGCTTGAGATCAAGGCTTCGTTGATGCCTTTGAGATCTCCAAACTCACCGCTAATTAAGAATGATCAAAACAAAACCGAGTTATGTGGACGATAAATGCATGTAGGTCTAGAACAAAGGTTTGGTGAAGCAGAGATAAAAGGGAAAAAAGCAAATGGGGGAAATAAAAAGAGGAAGATTAAAAAGACTTCATGGCTTCAATGGTTTCAATCCCCCTCGGCTCTGCCTGATAGCATATTAAATCACCTTTACAGACCCCCCCAGAAATGTGTAATTAGCTACTAGCAGACCGAAAGACACACCGGGGATATGTAATTGATGAGCAATTGTGTGCGTCCAACTCGGAGTGAGAGCGAGTGAGACTGACAGAACTGATAATTGAAATGGAGATGATTGGTATGAACACTTGCTTTCTGCTGGACTGAGGGAGGGGGGGGGTGGGGGGGGGGTAATGAGAACAAAGTCCATTTAGCCGTTCGTCTCCCGAGCAGCTTCACAGAGTTCTAATCAGAACTGGATAAAACTTTAGAAAGTCATTTGAATCTTGTCTTGGATCAGGCGATGGGATTCACACAGAAAAGCCCCGGGAGTTTTGTATTAAGCTCCATTCGTCTCCCCTTTTTGTCAACTACCCCACTAAGCCCCGCCCCCAATATTTATTGGAAAGAAAAGCCCCTCACTCCAGAGTCCCTCCCTCACAACACCAATTAAAGCTTCTGCTGTGTACCAGTTGAAACGAGCATGTCGCGTTGGGTCAAAGGAGGTTCTGGTAAATCGTGATCAGTGAAAGCGAACAGAGGCACTTTTGTTTAAGACACTGTACACTGTGCGCGCCTCTTCTATTTCTTTTTGTCGGGTTCCTGGACGCGAGCCTGGATTTTAAAAAGAATTTTGCGGACCATGACAACAAAACAAAAGCTTCCTTATTTCAGAGGGCTAATGACTTGGCACAGAGTAACGCAACCCCCCCCCTCCCCCAAAAAAGGCCATTTGCCAGAAAAAGGCACATGAGCAAATAGGTATGCGCGAGCTCATCTGCAGAGAGACACTTGTAATTGCGAGTACGAGAGTTCGCTGAATGCGATCGGCTCTTAGTGATGGAGCAGTGTGGGAAAAATATGGCAGCCAGCTGTCCTTCCACCAAGTAATGAAAGTAACAAAAAGGTTCCCCTTCACTCTGTTTACGAATGTCGTTAATGAAAAGAAGAAAAAAAAAACACTAACAGTCAGCCGCCATCCCATAATACATGTTAGAAGATTAGATTCACTGTCTGAACTTTCATAGTTGATTTGATATTTAGTTCTATCCTTAAGGTAATGATAATCAAGGGGAAAGTGCTGCTGGTGATGGGACAAATGCCATCGAAAGCCACAAAGCGGTAAACTATATATAATCAAATGTCAGTTCCATATGAGTCAAGATGACCGAGATAACAGAAATAACAGAAACAACTCTACTATGACTAAAGTGGATCGAGGCCTGCGTGTGCGGCGACGGCGCCCAGAAGATGCTTTGTTACCCCCAGTGTTTGCATATATTCCTGTACACTACGACTGCGGCCATGTGACCCTGTCCGACCGACCGTGGCTGATCTGCCCTCGGGAGCATTGTGGCATGCAGTAGCCATGTTCACATCCACATCAACACCCACACACAGCCTCGCTCCGCAGCTCCTACTGATGGAGAGAAGTTCAACATCCAATTGCCCATATGGGCTTGTTCTATATGTATATATAAAAAGAGTACTGACGTGTATTCACGGTGAAATCATTCAATCCAGGCAAATCTTTTCCGAGGTCATGTTTCATCTCTTCCCTGCGTCGTTGCCGCCACGTGACGGATTTAAAGATACCCAACACAGGTGCAATAAGACCACATCACAGCGGGATATCGGACAAGCTGTTTGTAGACATACAGCGAGCATTCTTGAAGCCAGATGTGAAGGACATCACACTGGCCTTGACTGTCTCTACTCCCTCTTCACCTGTGACTGCACACCTGTACACGGTTCTAATACCATTGTCAAGTATGCAGACGACACAACGGTGATTTGCCTCATCAGTGACAACGATGAGTCGGCCGACAGAGAGGAGGTCCAGCACCTGGCGGTGTGGTGCGCCGACAACAAACTGGCCCTCAACACCAAGAAGACCAAGGAGCTAATTGTGGACTTCCGGAAGAAAATTGGCACACACATCCCCATCCATATCAACGGGACGGAGGTTGAGCGTGTCGCCAGCTTCAAGTTCCTGGGTGCCCACATCTCTAAGGACCTCTCTTGGACCCTCAACACCTCATCCCTGGTAAAGAAAGCACACCAGCGTCTCTTCTTCCTGAGGAGACTGAAGAAGGCCCATCTGTCTCCTCAGATTCTAGAGAATTCCTACCGCTGTACCACAGAGAGCATCCTTACAAACTGCATCTCAGTACGGTATGGCAGCTGCTCTGTCGCGGACCGTAAATCACTGCAGAGAGTGGTGAAAACCGCCCAACGCATCACCGGTTCCTCCCTCCCCACCATTGAGGCAGAGCAAGAGATGTCTGCGGAGGGCACGCAGCTCTCACCCCAGCCACAGACTGTTTGCCCTCCTCCCCTCTGGGAGGCGCTACAGGGTGCTCCGTTCCCGGACCAGCAGGTTCAGGAACAGCTTCATCCCTGCGGCTGTCATTCTACTGAACTCTGCCCCCCCTGAACTCTGAACTCTGCCCCCCACCCCCCACACACAGTGACTGTACTTCCCCCTCCACCCTGGCTTGACTGCCACACAAACTCCTCCAGCCACTGACCATTTGCACTGTTATTGCATATCCATTTCTTACTGTTCATATCTATTTATTCACTTATTACACTTTACATATGCACATACTCTGCACTTTTTGCTATTTTGCACTCTGGTTGGATGTTAAACTGCATTTCGTTGCCTCAGTACTTGTACCCTGTGCAATGACAATAAAGTTGAATCTAATTTAATCTAATCTAATCTAATCTAATTTCACTGCGTATCGAGGTAGTCAATCAGAAATCTACATGGGTACATTATAGTTGCTGCATAAAACATTCAGATTATAAATTGCAGATGAGGAATTCACTTTCTAGTGGCTCTTACATCAGTCAGCTAAATCAGCACAGTTTAAAAACGTGTAGCGCCTTAAAAGACGAGCAACACGCTCATTTATGGACAATGAACTCCGCTGTGAGCAGAGTCCGGCGCCACGTTTTCGCGATGGTTTCTCTGTGACACCTATTTTTTCTGCACTTCCTGCGTGAAGCTTGTGAGGTCAAGTTCATTTCAAAGGAAACGGAGTTGAAGGAGAAAATTGCAGTCGGACACATCTTTGCCTTTCCACTGTCCCTGCGCTCTTTAAAGCCGCTTTGGTGATGTTTGCGGGGTCGACGTCCCGTCGCCCTCGTTCTCTTCTAATCAATGTGCAATCGGCTCCACGTCTAATTCTGAGGGCTATTAGGTGGGCAGCTTCGGTAATGGTCTGGAGCGGAGAGATGATACACTGATTGAGGCTGTTAACCTCATCTCCTTTGTTAGGAACCTTCGACGTGCGCATTATTTAAAGTCTGCGCCTAATTGCGCGTTATGAAAGGACATTAGTGGAAACCGACTGAAAGCCATGAAGCATTTAATGTCAAGTTCATTAAAAATCCGCAGCCAGTACTTCAGTCATTTGGTAATGATTGAGTATCTCTAAACATAGATCTGAATATCTTGCTCACGTTCAAGAGACTTTTTAAACACATTTCTGCTACAATTCAGACTTTTTTTATCCCCGACATGAAAAGAATCCTCATTGTAAGAGTTTGCATTCAATCCGGCCCGTCCGGGAAATGAATCGGCGACGCATCCATTATTCAACGCGGTTGGCATTATTAGGGATCGTACGAGGCGACCCAAAATACCACGGAGATTTGAGTACGGAGGGGCGGATGTTTTTTAAAAGGTTTTCTCATCTGAAGTTTAGTTTGGCCAAGTTGAATTCCCCGGTGCGTCTGAGTCAGAGAGGAGTGAATGGGTGAGGGATGAATAATGCACGTCAGGTTCCTATTGTTTCGGGGCAGACCCTCAGAACCCCCCCCCCCCCCACACACACACACACACACACCCGAGAGATGGTGAAAATATTGATGGAAGTGGCTGTGTGGATGTCGACCGGCTGGTCGGATGTGAGATTT